GCTTCTGTACTACAGCACCTGTACTACAGCGGTGGGAGGCGAAGCTCAGCCCGAGTTTTCACCAGGTAATGTCGCCGGGGATCGAAGACAGAGCTTCTCCTACGCGACGAAGGAGCCATTAAGAGATAGGCAATATAACAGGAAAGCCTTCAAAGACATGGATAAACCAGATTTCTTCGAGAAACTGAACAGAATTCGACCACCCAAAAACGAGATCTTCCGAGAGCGAAAACCTGTCTCTCACAAAGCTGCTTTGACGGATCGTCAGTCGTGATCGTGATTGACGCACCTACATCCCTTTCGAGTCATCATTGGCTCCCGAACTGAACGCGTCACGCAATCGACTATGTAATGCATGAACCCACGAAACGACTCTCCAACTCGTGATCTTGCTTCTCTTGTACTTCCTCGATCCCGACTGCGCGCTCGCGCAGAAGCCCGGAAGCATCTTGGCGGAAATTTCCTGGAAATTCCGGAAATTTCCACCTTGAAATTTCCAAACACAGAACATCGTGCTGAATTTCCACTCACATCACACCCTGACTCAGGGTATACACAAGATGTACTCCAAGGGAACACTCAGGGTATACACAAGATACACTCCAAGGGAACACTCAGGGTATACACAAGATGTACTCCAAGGGAACACTCAGGGTATACACAAGATGTACTCCAAGGGAACACTCAGGGTATACACAAGATACACTCCAAGGGAATACTCAGGGTATACACAAGATGGACTCCAAGGGAACACTCAGGGTATACACAAGATGTACTCCAAGGGAACACTCAGGGTATACACAAGATACACTCCAAGGGAACACTCAGGGTATACACAAGATACACTCCAAGGGTACACTCAGGGTATACACAAGATACACTCCAAGGGAATACTCAGGGTATACACAAGATGTACTCCAAGGGAACACTCAGGGCATACACAAGATACACTTCAAGGGAACACTCAGGGTATACACAAGATGTACTCCAAGGGTACACTCAGGGTATACACAAGATGTACTCCAAGGGTACACTCAGGGTATACACAAGATACACTCCATGGGTACACTCAGGGTATACACAAGATGTACTCCAAGGGTACACTCAGGGTATACACAAGATACACTCCAAGGGTACACTCAAGGTTGAGTAAGGTGTACTTAGAGAAAACACCCGGGGTGTACACAAGATGCACTCGAAATATATACAAAATGCAACCTAGGTACCACTCAAGGTATACACAAGATGACCAAGAAGAATCTATGCAGAACAAACTGCGGATAGCTGACACATCAAAGTTTGATGATCCTACTCATAACTCTCCAATCCGCTACTACTTTATGTTGATCCTCATATGAACATATCATCCTTCATGTATCCTCCTTGACGTCCTCCCGGAGGACTCCTCCGTAGCTACTCAATGAACGTGCGATGTATTTTTTGCGCTCTTAAGGATTCTCGTAGATCCTCAGTCGAAGTCCCCGGAGAGCGCAAGTAAAATGGAGCGCGTCCCAAAAATCAAAAACCAAAAGTGTCGGTCTGAATACTAGCATGAAATTACACTGATAATCATGCTAGTATGATGCTCCACCTTACTGACAATCTCGCAGTGGTTCCTCACCTATCATTGGTAGATGAGAACCTGTAATGATGCGCAGAAACTAGCGCCCGCCCAGACGATCTCGCTCGCCATTTAAGTGTAATAGCTATTATCAAATAGATTACATTGCTCATTGCTACTCTCAACTTTCTCCCTATTCCTTCACGTTGCGTCATAGTACAACATGGTGCCCAGACCCACCACTACCGACCACTCTGAGGAGACAGGTGACTCCGAGTTCTTAACCTTCGACGAGTTTAACGCCCTAGCTACCGAGGAGGAAGCAGCTCACGAGGCCCAAGCTGATCATCCCCAGGAGAATCTACCTTCTGCCGGTGTGAGTTCTACCAGCTCTGTTCAAGTGCAGTCCCTATCTCACCCTATTTCTTCTGGTGACATCACTTCTAGTCTACCCCAACCATCCCTCAAGGTGACCAACGGTATTCGCAGTTACAAGATCATCGACCCCTTCAAAGGCGACAAAACCCAGGATATTGTGGAGTTCTTATCCAAGTTCGAGGAAACCTATGGTTTGTTAGGATGGCCAGAAGCTACTAAGTATAACGTTCTCCGTGTTAACATAGAGGGTG